CGCCTGGCATGCGTGCGGCCCGGGTTGTGGCCCGGGTTCGATCCTCAGCACCACATACAAACAAAGATGTTGTGTCTGCCGAAAACTAAAAAATAAACATTAAAAAATAAAATAAAATGTTTAAAGTACCCCTTCTGGGCATGGTGGCACACAACTATGATCCTAGCAACTCTGGAGGCTGAGGCAGAATTGCAAGTTTTGAGGCCAGCCTCAGCAACTCAGCAAGGCTCTAAGCAACTTAGCAAGATCCAGTTTCAAAATAAAAGAATTTAAAGGCCTGGGATATAACTCAGTGGTTCAAACCCTGGTGGGTTCAAACCCCACTACCCCAGTACAAAAAAAAAAAGTACAATAATTTATTGCTTTTAGGATTTTTCTTCAGCAGGAAAAAATGGCTTAAAATGTTAACTAGTCTGAAATCCTGGTATTCATGGGTAATCTTAAAGTAGCTGTTAAAAATGGATAAGTTAGGTTTGCTGTAAATAGGATAAACGTTTATAAATATATTTGATGGGGAGAACATCTGAGTCATTTGTAAGTTAAATACTAAAACATCACTGTGCACAGTGGTTGCAGCAAATGCCAGAAATCCCAGCAATTGGGGAGGCTGAGGCATGAATTCGAGGCCACCAGCTTCAGTGAGACCTTGTTTCAGAGTAAAAAATAATAAAAGGATTGTGGATATAGCTCAGTGCTCGAGTACCCCTGAGCTCAACTCCCAGTGACAATAAATAAATAAATAATTTGAATTAAATTAATACTAAAATATCAATTGTTAATGACTCTTGTGAATTTTGTTTTGCATAAACCTATAACCACTGTCTGTATTTTGCAGAAGTACAGCTTCTAACAAAATAACCTATGTTAACTAGAGATAGTAAGCCATCACCTACAGGACAGATGGGATCTGTGTGAGGATGGCCTTAGGCCTGAGCCTAAGCAACTAGATTTTAAAAACTCCAGTTTGAAACCTGCAGTCTCATCAGGCACACCCACAGAGCCCTGCAGTATGGCCTCAAACAACTTACTTCCCCTCACCCTGATAAACAGAGTGAAGCCCCCAGCAGGCTGTCTTTGCCAGATTAAGAAGGGAAGATCAGGGTGGAGACCACCAGACCAGATATTTCTGACCCCAGGGTCAATGATATCATGGAGAAATCTGGTGGTAGCTGATCAGGATTGAAAGGGGTCAAAAGCCCCCAATTTAGTATAAATAATAGAGCTGATGAACAGGGATTCAGCCAGCCAAAACAAGGATGCACTGGAGAGCCTGATGAGGACCTGACATCCCATCACTTGTCATCTTTTCCTGATCCTCGGCATGATCCTCACCGCTCTCAAACTCTACCACCTTGTCTGGACCTTGGTGAGAACCACAACTTCTCCCTAGGACCCTCTCCTCAAGCAGTCGTCCATTCCACGCCAGGAAAAGCCTGCCTTGGTTCTGGACCTGATCACCGCGGTCTGAGTGAGTGTGCATCTGCTGGACATAAAGCCTAAGGCTTGAGACTTTTGAACTTAGAATGCAGAGGGAATGACTGTCACTAGCCTGTCATGATTAAGTGTGTTTTGCAGTGCCTAGAATTAATCTAGAATTGTTTGCTGTGACCTGATTATGTCTATTGCAGTGCCTAGCATTAGGATTGTCGTTTTTTTAATTAAGAACCTATAAAATGAAATTGTATCGAGTAATTTGAGTGAATAAAGCATTGAAAGGGGCAAAAGCACGTGGACATTCTTTATTTCTCCCCTAGACTGTGTATGTTGCAATTTTTGGCCCCTCACGACAATATGAAACTGACTCCCAGTACTAATACTGATCCCAACTAAATGCAATGGGTAATTGTAAAATTCCAAAAGTTACAATTAAAACAAACTATTCCCAGGGCTGGGGATATAGCTCAGTTGGTAGAGTGTTTGCTTCACATGCACAAGGCCCTGGGTTCAATCCCCAGAAGCACACACACACACACACACACATAAAAACTACTCCCACTTCAAGATTGGTGGACCTAGTGGGGCATGGTAGTGTATACCTATAATCCCAACAAATATGAGGATGAGGCAGGAGGATAGCAAATTCAAGGCCCCAAGCTACTTAGTGAGACCCTATCTCAAAAAAAAAAAAAAAAAAAAAAGACTGGTGGACATGACCTGTGTTCAACAACCAAGACTTGGAGACCAAAGTCAAAGAAAATAGAGGTGTAAGGAAAAACAAACAAACAAAACCGATGCTTTGGCCCTTGCCTTCAAAGGTTAGCCAGGACCCAGAGAAAATTGGACCTACAACTCCAGTGAGTCACCCAACCTCCCAATTGGGGAGACTGTGAAGGCCCTAGAGAAAAGGAAGCTAACCAGTATCATTCTGCACAGAGGAGGGTCACTTGAGAGGGAAATGTCTCCAATGTTTCCAAGGGAAGCCATATGTGGTCATCAGTCAGCAAGACTCTGACTCATCCTGGCAGATGGCACAACTGGTAGAGGAAAAGACTGAAGGAGTGAAGAGGTGTTTCATAGTTCCTAAAAAGTAACCCCGAGGAATCTTAGCTCACTTTAACAGTGGGAAGGAAAGAGGTTACTTTTTGGTCACCTCCTTGGTCTCAAATACCCAGCAAGATCATATAACCAAAGACACATGTACTAATGTGAGGGTAAAGTAAAAGTCAAAGTACAGTCATGCATGAACATTTAAAAGGGAAAGACATTAGTCCTTTTAAATATAACTTGAGAATATATACTTACATTAGCCCTATCCAAAGTAAAATAGGATCTTATACATGTTTGACAATAACTATCAAGAGCCTCTGCCAAACTCATATTTGTCCTGAACTAATTTTAGTCTGCTTTTTTTTTTTTTTTAAATCCAGATCTTAAGATGTATAGACATGAGAAACTATTAAAAATTACTTGCCTAACCTCACCTGGCTGTTAACACAATCAGGACCTTTGACTACTATACTTTTTAATCTCCAAGTAAAATTGGTAACTTCCAAATTACAACAGTTCCATGATGAAGCCCTTTCGCTCTTCTCAGATTTAGTCACTGTAAAGGCTTGTCTCCAGCACAGTTCTTTAAATATTACCTGGCACAATGTTCCTATACACTGATCTCTCCTAGTGACTGCTCATGGCCTGGATGCCATGGCTGAGCTCTCATTGACTTGTAACATGGTCCATTCCTTGATGGCCATAGTCCTACAAAACAGGAGTCTGAATAATCCTCCAAGAGGAGTGCTGTCTTTGTGTCAACAAAACAGGTCAGGGGGCTGGGGATATAGCTCAGTTGGTAGAGTGCTTGCCTTGCATGCACAAGGCCCTGGGTTCACAGCCAAAAAACAAAAACAAAACAAACAAATCAGGACAGATTCATAAACTAATCACCCAGGCATCACAAATTTAGGGAGAAAGCAGCCCAGGGCTAGTTCTCTTGGGAGGAGACTTGGGCACAGTTCTCTTGGTTTTTCCCTTCTATAGAACTATTAGCTTCAATCTTCTTTGATTCTCTTATTCATCCCCTATTAACCCTCCTCATTAATTTCATCTCTTCCTATCTAAAGGGCATCAACCTCCAGACGTCCCAAAGTCTTGCTGGGGATTATCAATGTGTTGTGTCTGAGGCCCTGCTGCTATCATCAGCTGTATTAGATCATGTGAGATGAAGATTCCAGTAGTGCTCACCTGCCATCAAATGTCTCCTCTTAAGCTAAAGCAAAAGCCCCCAAATTCCCTATCCTGACCACTTGGTAGCAAGGAACCAGACTCTGAAAAAATTGTTGCCCCTGACTAGCAGGAAGCAAACAGGTGATCTGTTGCCCCAAATCTTAAGGGTTTCAGAATTCTGAGTCCTTGAGGGACTCAGAATGTTAGAGTAGGCAGGTAGACAAAGATATAAGCAGGGGGATGGGAAGAGAAAGAATAGGGCTCAACCATCATTTTTTTTTTTTTTTTGTACTGAGAATTAAACCCAGGGAAACTTTACCACTGAGTTACATCCCTATCCCTTTTTAAAATTTTTTATTTTGAGACAGGGTTTAAGTTGCTTAGTACCTGAGCAGCTGGGATTATAGGCATGTACCATCATGTCCAGCAGTTCTCCATTTTTTTAAACTATGAAATCTTACTCACTTAGCCAGGCACAGCAGTTGGGGAGACTGAAGCAGGAGAGTTAAAAGTTATAGACCAGTTTCAGCAACTTAGCCAGGCCTTGTCTCAAAATTGAAAAACAAAAAGCTAAAAGAACCTCTTCATTCATTTAATTGGGCAATGGGTGAAAATATATTTATAAGGTTGTTTCCTAAAGTGTTCTTTACACCTACAAACTTGTAAAATAGCCTAAATATTAAAAAAAAAAGGATTAAGTTATGACATAGTCACACAAACTATCGATCCTCAGCACCACATACAAACAAAGATATTGTGTCCGCCTAAAACTAAAAAATAAATATTAAAAAAAAATTCTTTTTTTTTTAAATTTTTTTTTAATTGTTGATGGACCTTTATTTTATTTATTTTTATGTGGTGCTGAGAATCAAACCCAGTGCCTCACACATGCTAGACAAGTGCTCTACCACTGAGCCACAACGCCAGCCCCAAAATTCTCTCTCTTAAAAAAAAAAAAAGAAATCCAACTCCTATTTTTCATAGCGTCTAAGTCGGTGCTTTTCACGCAGCAGGAACTTAATACCTGTTAAACTGAATGTGCCTTTAACTTGGGTCCGGGGGACCCTGTGTTGAGTATTAGCGATTACACAACATTCAGAATTTCTTTCCAAGAAACGTACAGGTGAGTGAACAAGAGGCTTTGTGCACTTCCACGCACACCCTGGTTTCCTTGCTTCATCTTCTTTCTCCCCTCTGCCTCGCCAGCTGGGTCAGGAGCCCGAGGGTTCCCAGTCCCAAGGGTCCCTGCACAGCCCAGAGAGCTCCGCGGTGGACGCCAGGACGCCGTACAGCTGCTGTGAGAAACGCGGCGAGGCGGGGCCTGCGCGCACGTGGGTTTGCGCGCTCTGAGCGCCGGCAGCCGGCCTTCCCGCGGCGGCCTCCATCTCGCGTTCTGGCCGGCGAGGCCCACGGGAGCTGCTGCCCGTACTCAAGATGGCGGTACCGGGAGAGCTTGTCTTATGACCCAGGCGCGGAGGTCTAAAGCTCATGGCAGCGGCCGAGCAGCCGATCCGGGAGGACAGAGAGGAGGAAGAGGATGAGGCAGTAAGCACTCTGTCGGAAGCCTGCACCGCAGTCGCAGTGATGGGTGTGCGGGCTGGGGGTGGGAAGGGCTCAGGGATGCCGTAGGCGGGAGGGAGGCCCCCTGGCGCCTGGGCCGCTTCCCGGTCCCTGGCGCGCAGAGCTGGGGAGCGTGTGGTCTCAGTCTTGATTGCCCCACCACAGTAAGAATGCAGAAGTGCTGGGAAGGTTCCTTAGGTAACGTCGCTTGCATCCTCTCATTGAAAACCGGACCCAGTTTCCACAAAGGTGGACGGACTCATTACAATGGGAATTTTTGGCTTTTTATGTTTATTGCCTCTTCCTGCTCGCTCACATGCTAGCCAGCTAACTCTTCTTTCTTCCAGCAGGAGCAGTTTGTTCTAGTTGAATTATCGGGAATCATCGATTCAGACTTCCTCTCAAAATGTGAGAATAAATGCAAGATTTTGGTGAGTCTTCTAGAATTGGGGGATTGTTACAGATTTTCTTAAAACAAAAATTACTGGTGAATGTCTGCAATCCAGCTACTCTGGAGGCTGAGGCAGGAGAATTGCAAGTTTCAGGTCAGACTGGGTAATTTGAAACAAAGGACTTCTAAGACATCACATGTTGTAGATTTGAACTATGATATCTTAAATTATTACCTGTTTTTTTTCCTCCATGCAGTTCTGGGGATGGAACCGAGAGCCTTGAGCATGCTAAGCACACCTCTTCCACCAAGCTATATCATGCGCTCTTATCCCTTTACCTTAAAATCCCTGGAATACTTCTCCCAAAACTTTGTGTTCTTATCGTTGATTGAAGTAGACCTTGCTACTTGGGTATTAATTAAGTAGTCTTCAGGTTGGAGCTCCTGGGATGAGAGCAGTGCTTATCTTGGGCTTCCTAGAGCAAGTTACTCTTTAGTTTCCCAGTTTGGAAAATCATTTTCCTTGGTATGGAGGTCACACATTGAAGGCTTGTTCTTTGGATGATATTTATGATCCTTTATTCTGTTGTAGGGAATCGACACTGAAAGGCCCATTATGCAATTGGATAGCTATGTCTTTGCTGGGGAATATGAAGGTAAAAAAAAATATTTTTATTAGTTGTTAATTTATTTATATATATCTGGTGCTGAGAATGGAACCCAGTGCCTTACATATCCTAGGCAAGTGCTCAACCACTGAGACAAAACCCCACCCCTCTCTGTTATTCCTTAACAATTTGTCTTTGATTTTTTCTGCAGATACTCTTGGAACATGTGTTATATTTGAAGAAAATGCTGAACATGGTAAGTAATTACTATGCAAGTGAAACTGATTCTTTTTTTTTTTTTTTGCCCTCTGGGGTTTGAAACCAGCCAGGGCATTTTTATCACTGAGATACATCCCCAATCCTTTTTTTTTTATATTTATTTTTTAGTTGTAGTTAGACACAATACCCTCATTCATTTATTTTTATGTGGTGCTGAGGATTGAACCCAGGGCCTCATACGTGCTAGGCAAGCGCTTTATACTGCTAAGCACAACCAGCCCCCGAGTCCTTTTTATTTTTTATTTTGAGACTACAGGGTCTTCCTAAGTTACTGAGACCTCTAATGTGATCCTCCTGCCTCAGCCTCCCAAGTTACTCAGTTTATAGCCCTGGCTCCTGTAATTTAACCCCTAGTTAAATTGTTTGTTTGTTTCATCTACATTATTTGTATCAAGCTGGGTTTGGTGGTGCATTCCTGTAATCCCAGCAGCTTAGAGGCTGAGGCAGGATGATCTCAAGTTCAAAGCCAGCCTCAGCAACTTAGGGAGACCCTGAGCAACTTAGCAAGACCATGTCTCAAAATAAAAAATAACATGAACTGGGGATGTGGCTCAGTGGTTAAGTGCCCCTGGATTCAATCCTTGGAACCAAAATAAAATAAATAATTTGTAACATACCATATATAGTAAGTTTTAAAATTAAACATCTCATATGCCTAATTTTTTAGCTGCATCATATTCTATCATTTGCCAGGCTGACTCAGATTATAGTTAAAAAACATTCTTGTATACCCCTTTCCAAACTTATTCTTTTTTTCTTTTTTTAATTATTTTTTAGTTACTGGTGGACCTGTATTTTATTTATTTATATGCAGTGCTGAGAATCAAACGCAGTGCCTCACACATGTTAGGCAAGCACTCTGCCACTGAGCTACAACCCCAGCCTCCCAAACTTATTCTTTTCTCTTGTCTTCAGAAGTAATTTCCTGAATTTGCTGTTTATCTTTCCTATATTTAGTTCTATGTTACATATGTATGCGTCTACATACAATAAATAGCACTGTTTTATATATTTTCAAACTTGACCTGGGGTATAACTCAGTGGGAAAGCATTGCCTAGCAGGTGCAAGGCCCTTAGTTTGATTTCCCAGGCACTGAAAAGCAAAAAATTTATATAACATGCTAGGACCAGGTGTGGTACACACCTATAATCCTAGCAACTCTAGAGACTGAGGTAGGAGAATCCCAAGTTTGAGGCAGGCTTCAGCAACTTAGCAAGATCCTAACCTACTTAATGATACCCTAGCCCAAAATAAAAAGGGCTGGAGATGTGATTTAGTGATTAAGTGCAGCTGGGTTCAATCTCTGGTGCCAGTTAAATAAATAAATAAACAATGACACACACTATACAAATAATTCTGTAACTTTTTTCTCTCATTTTAGGATTGAGATATGTTTTAGGATTCTACTTGTTAATATATACATAGTGCTAATTTATCTCTTTTCCTTGCTGCTTAGTATTTTGTGACTGTATCACAGTTTATTCTTTATTTCTTTTCCATTTTACTGCTACTATAAATGGAAACTGATATTATCCTTTTTGTTGTTGTTTCTAGTATTGGGGATTGAGCCCAGGGATGTTTTACCTTTGAGCTACATCCACAACCCTTTTGAGACAGAGTCTTGCAAAGTTGCTTAGGGCCTTGCTTATTTGCTGAATTAGCCTCAAATTTGGAATCCTCTTGCCTCAGGTTGCTGGGATTATAGATATTTACCACCTTGCCTAGTTTGATAATACACTTTAGATAACATGGTGATATGTTTTATTTTCTCACTATAAAAATGCTCCTAGCTGGGTGAGATGGCACACACCTATAGTTCCAAATATCCCCCAGTTGCTCAGGAGGCTGAGGCAGGAGGATTGGAAGTTTGAGGCCAGCCTCAGCACCTTAGCAAGACCCTATCTCAAAACCAAAAAGGGTTGGGGATATAGCTCAGTGGTTGAGCATGTCTGGGTTCAATCCCCAGTACCGCCCCCCCAAAAAAAATAAAAAAAAAAGAAAGGAAGAAAGAAGATTGATGAGTGTGTTGTCTTCAATTTTAGTTGAATCAAGTGTAATTACTGATTTGACCCCATATCAATAATTTCATTTTCAAATTGTTAAATATCACTAATACCAGTTTACACTCAAAGAGCAATATATAAGTTTTTCATTACTTCACATCTCTGGCTCAGAGCCTCCTCCTTCTGCCTAGATGCACATGATTCTAGCAGCGATTGTCAGCAATTTTTTTTTTTTTCCTGAGCCTTCTTTTATAAATGGAAGTGTGTGGGGGTGTTGGGGTTGTGGCTCAGCGGTAGAGGGTTCGCCTCACATGTGCAAGGCCCTGGGTTCAATCCTCAGCACCACATAAAAATAAATTAAAAAATAAATGTATTAAAAAAAATGTCCTCACTCCAACCTCTGGTATCAAGTAATAATGGTCTAGCACTAAATATTTTAAGTGCTAGAATTATAGATCCCATTACGCTATGGCCAAATTCCTGACCTCAATTTCCCATTTTAGGATTTGAGCCTATGAGGTCTATGACTCTAATTTCACTCATAGCTTTGCATTTCTCTCCCTTGTAGGTGTGTATTGTTTTTGAATCTAGTCAGGGTCTTCAAGTGGTAGTGTTTTACCTATCATTTCTCTGTGCTTGGAACAGGAGAGATAAATTGTACTTTGAACTTACTGTACCATGGTAATAGGAAGTAGTTTAGTCAAACTCCATAAACTGGAATTACTATGGCTTAGCATCATTATTTGCTGGTATCAAGCAGTGTAATAATTGAATTCATTTTATGTTCCAGTGGATGCAGAAGGCAATAATAAAACACTGCTAAAATACAAATGCCATACAATGAAGAAACTCAGCATGACAAGAACTCTTCTGACAGAGAAGAAGGAAGGAGAAGAAAACATAGGTTAGTTCACTTAATTCTCTGAACAGAGGTGCTGTAGTATTATATCCTATAATGACACATTGCTAGCTGAATGGGGTGGCAGACACCTGAATCTCTGACTTTAAAAGCTGAGGCAGGAGGATTGCAAATTGAAGCCAGTCTCAGCAAACTAGTGAGACCCTGTCTCAAAATAAAGAGGAAAGACGCTGGGAATGTAACTGTGAAAAGATGGAAGCAGAGTACTTGCCTAGCATGCATGAGACCCTGGGTTCAATTTCCAGGACTACAAAAACAAAAACAAAACATGTTGCTGCCAGGATATTCCCTGTACTCTGTAGTAATAACTGTATGTAATATGTTCAGTTTTATCTTATTTATTTTTTAGTCCTGGGGTTTGAGCTCAGGGGCATTTTTACCACTGAGTCATATCCCCATTCCTTTTTCCTTTTTATTTTGAGACAGGGTCTTGCTAAGTTGCTGAGGCGGCATCAAACTTGGCAATCCTCCTGCCTCAGCCTCTTAAGTCACTAAGATTTCAGCCATGTGCCTCAGAGCCCCACTGTAATGAGCCTGTTTACAAGCCAATATCAGTGAAACCTAAAAATTAATAGACGTTCATTTGGGTTAGGGGTGTATCTCAATAGTAGAGTGCTTGTCTAGCATGTGTATAGATAGGCCCTGCAGGCTGGGGATATAGCTCAGTTGGCAAAGTGCTTGTCTTGCAAGCACAAGGCCCTGGGTTCAATCCCCAGCACCAAAAAAATAAAAATAGATAGGCCCTGCATTCAATCTCTAGCATCACAAGAAATAATGAGTAAAATTGAGAATGCTGCATGAAAAGTACCAAACAGATTTAAAATTCAGCCGAACTTGAATATAGGTGAGGAAAGAAACTAAGAAGTTTGCCAAGCAATGTTATACGATTTCCAGTCCTTAGGGAATTCAGCAGTGTTTCTCTCTTTGTCTGTTTCTCTCTGTGTGTCTGCTTCTTTCCATCTCTTCACAAAAAGCCAGCTTGAAAATGGAGTAGTTATGCTAGTGTTTGGCATTTCCAAGGTGTAAATTTAGGGCATCCCCTGGGAACTTGGCAGAAGAAGCAACCTTCCCCAACAAGCTCACAGTTGGAGGAAGTTGGCTTTATATGCAGGCGAAACTGTAGGACAGTAATTGTTCATCCTGAGTGTAGTTCTTAGCATCCATTTAGTCTTTTCTAATTGTTGACATCACAGAGACTGTAGAGCAGAGTGTCTTGCCCCATGTTTGTGGAGCTTAACACATAATCACTTCGTGGTTTAAAACTTCATTGTTCAACAACATTTGATATTCTAGTCAATTAGATGCTACTCACATGGCTTATTAGATTTATTGTTTTAGGCAAGAAATAAATATTTGAAGATATATCGATCATATAGAAAGTAAGTGCACCACCCTATACACAATTACTTAGAAACCTTTGTTCTTATTGTGTATATCCCCAAACTATTCCTTTTTCATGTGTCTTGTTAAAAATAATAGGAAGAAAGTGGTAGGTTCAAGAATGAGCTTGAAAGGGAAAGACATATCATAAGCTTAGCTATTATTTATATTTTCTTATTAAAGGAAATTCAGAATTTCTTCTCATGGTATTCACTATTAGATTATTAATCTAGTTCTTTGGGAAGATATGGATGTTATGTTCAGTCAAATAATATGGATGTTCAGTCTGTACTCTCTCAATTGCTGCATAACAAATACCCCTAAATTTGATGGCTTAAAGCAACAAAACTAGTATCTTACATTCAGGAATCAGGAATTTAGGAAGAATAGAGGTAGGTGGTTCTGATTTAGGGACTTCCTGTGATTTTGCAGATATCTAATGGAATTCAGTGGATTCTTAAAGGACAAGAGGGGGAAAGAAAATGACTGGTATTATTGGAACAGACTTTGATTGTGGGGGCTTAATTGAGAGTTGAGGGCTTTGCCTATGAGTGTGGAAAAGAGCAGAATTGGTTTTAAGGTGATTTTTTTGTTTGAGACCTTTCTTATTTCATTCACAATTGAATGTTCCAACTCATAAAATTATGAGAATGATGCATTCTACTGTCATGTATAACTAATTAAACAAATTAAAAAATAAGAAATGAGAATGAGAGGGGTTGGGAGTGTAGCTCACTGATAGCATGTGTTTAGCATATACAAGGCTGTTGGTTCAATCCCTAGCACCCAACTCCACCACAACAAAGAAAGCAAGAAAGAGGGAGGGGAAAGGAAAGAGAAAATGATATGAAAGTCCTGACTTGGAAGGTAATATAGTAATATCATATATTAAAATTGGAGGGAAGTAACCGTTTTCTTTAAGGCATGAGAAGCCAGTGAGAACTTAGTTTCTCAGAATGAGTCAAGAATTTAACTGGAGTGGCTGGGGTTATGGTAGTGTGCTCTCCTAGCACATGTGAGGCACATAAAAATGAAATAAAGATATTGTGTCCACCTACAACTAAAAAATAAAGAAAAAAGAAACTCTTTAAAAAAAAAAGAATTTAACTGGAAAAGAGGCATGGAACAGTAATGGAAGTTAATTGCTTATAGTGATTGTGATGATACATACTCCATTCCAAGGCCTTCATGGAAAATGAAAATTACATAATTATTTTATTGATATTTATATTTGGTTTATTTTGGAGTTTTGCTTTGACATATTCATTGGTTGAAAATTTAAAGAAAAATGGACAACTAAAATTTCTTTCTCATGTTTCTTTCTTGTCCTGTCCCCTATCCCCGCCTAATTAGGTGGAGTAGAATGGCTACAAATGAAGGATAATGATTTCTCCTACAGACCTAACATGATTTGTAGCTTCCTACATGAAAATGAAGATGAAGGTGTAGCTGCAGCCTCAGATAAACCTTTGGAATTGGAAGAGCGGGAGAGTCAAATGAAAGACAGTTCAAACCTGATCTATGAACAGGAGAAATCACTGCATTTGGAAACAGAGGAGTCAAGTCCTCTTGTTGATATCCCTTCTTCTGAGATGGAAGGTTCTGTTTTTACGGAAACTCAAGGTGCTCCCTTGGAAATCACTCCTAGATGAAATGATTTTCATATTGTTTTTGTTGGCCATACATTTCCAGTTATAGCACAATTTTAATATACCATAATCATTCAGGACCAGACATTCATTAAATTTTTTAAGTATGGTTTAAATGATTATAGGGTCATTTCTCTTTTATTTTGATGAGTACATTAAACTGGGAGTTTACCAAAGTAAGAAAAAATTTTCTATAGCAGCTATCACAAATTACTATAAACTTAGTGACTTAAAACACAAATGTACTGTCTTGTAGTTTTATAATTCAGAAGTTTGACACTGTCTCAGCCTAGCCAAAATCTAAATGTTGGCAGGTCTGTGTGTTCCTTTCTGGAGGCTGGGATGAGGATGAATCCATTCGCTCGTTCATTTGTTGGTAAAATTCAGTTTTTTGTAGATAAAGTATTGAGGTCCCATTTCTTTGCTATTTGTCAGATAAAGGCCATTTCTAGAGACCACCATATTCCTTGGCTCATGGTCCCCTTGTCTTCAGAGTTGGTGTGTGCCACCGCACCTGGCTTCTACTTCCACTTTTAAAGTACTATTTAATTACAGTGGGCCCACCTGGATAATTTCCCTCTTTAATTTGACTGAATCTATATCTGGGTGCGGTGGTGTATGTCTAATCCCAGCAAATTAGGATGCTGAGGCAGGAGGATTATAAATTCAAGGCCAGCCTCAGTAACTTAATGAAATCCTAAGCAATTTAGCAAGCACCTATCTCAAAACATAAAAGGATTGGGGATCTAGTTCAATGGTAAAGTGCCGGGGTTCAATCCCTACTACCAAAAAAATAAATTACATTGAAGTCCCTTTTTTGCCATGTAATTTAATATACACAGGAATAGAACCATTAGGATATTGTAATCTTTGGGATCCATTTTCAGTTTACTATAATATTTTATCTAAGAACTGAAAAAAAAAATTTAAGTGCTTAAGGATAAGGGCATAATTCCTAATATTACAACTATAATTTCACTCCTTTTCCACTTGAGAAAGTTTATTGGAATTCAATGATAATAGTCATCTTTATTATAACAGTAACCTAGATTTGCTCCACTCTATAATTTTTTTTTTTTTTTAAATGTAAATATTTAGTGCTGGGAAGCAAAATTAGAATCTTGGGCATACTCTACCACTGATCTATACCACCAGCCCTCCCATTTAAAGTAAATTATTCACAAACTTTGATACTTTGTTATAGACTGGCTGTATGGAATTGCCAATATTTGATTGTTTCTGACTATGAACCCAGAAATTTGATACATGTATCCTACTACTAATAAGTTAAAACACTCTTCATATTAATTACATGTTACAATTGATAGAAATATAACAAGGAGACTGCTAATTGCCTGAGCCATTATCTCTCTACCCCCTTTGTGTGTGTGTTGCTGAGATTGAACTCAGGGCTTTGTACATTCTAGGCAAGTGCACTATCACTTGCTGTATTTACCACCACCACCTTTTTTTTTAAGTTGTAGTTGGACATAATACCTTCATTATTTTTTTTATTATTGTTTTTTATGTGGTGATGAGGATTGAACCCAGCAACTTGCACGTACTAGGTGAGCGCTCTACCACTGAGCCACAACCCCAGCCCCCCCCTCCTTTTTTTTTTTAAATTAGTTATACATGACAGTAGAATGCATTTATGCACTATGGTATATCATACATAGATGGAATATAATTTCTCATTTTTCTGAGTGTACATGTTGTAGAATCACATTGGTCATGCAGTCACATAATACATAAAGTAATAATGTCTGTTTCATTCATAACTATCCTTTCTACACCTACATCCCCTCCCATACCCTCCTATTACTTCCCTCTACCTAATCTAAGGTAACTCTATTCTTCTTTAGTGTCCCACCCCCCCTTATTGTGAATTAACATCCACATATTAGAGAAAACATTCTGCCTTTGGTTTATGTCCTTTGGATATAAACCGAGGAGTGGGATAGCTGGGTCAAATCTCAGTTCCATTCCAAGTGACCCTTTTTTATTTTGTTTGGAAACACGATCTTGCTAAATTACCCAGACTAGCCTCTGGAGTAACTGGGATTACAGGCTTCCTTTTTTACTTTGTAACAGAATCCCAGAATTTATTCAGGTTAACAAAGTCCCCGCTTCCTTTGCAGATACATGTAGTCATATGATCAAAGTTATGACCACTGACTTGGACGTGGAAGTGTTCAGTGATGCTACAACTGAAAGGCGTAAAGGAAAGTGTGTAGGTTTATCTTTCTCTTCTTGCTGAAACATGGGTATGGGGGCATGAGCCCCAGCAGAGTTCTTGGGTTTTAAGGTAACCTTGGAAATAGAAGCCATTATGGGCAAAGAAACAAGATAGAAACTGGGATGGGCCTTGGTAGTGTACGCCTATAATTTCAGGGACTTGGGAGGTTGAGGCAGAAGGATCGTTGAGTTTGAGGCCAGTCTCAGCAACTTAGCATGGCCCTAAACAACTTGGACAGCCTCTGTCTCATAAAATAAAAAAGTATTAGGGATGTAGCTCAGTGGTAAAGTGCCCCTGGGTTCAATCCCCAGTACAAAAAAAAAAATAGAAATTGTATTCTGATAACTGTGGCACTGCACTTGACGAGTTTACTTGTCAGCACTCTTTGGATACTCACAAGGCAAAATAATAATGGAATGTCATCTGTAATACTTGGTAATATTATTTATAATTAAATATGACTCCTTGGCTAGGGATTTAACTAAGTGATAAGAGTGCCAAGTATGCAGAAGGCCCTGTATTTGACCCATAGCACTCCAAAAGAAAACAAAAAGACTGCTTATTGGTAAACTATATTGGGATAAGGAATACTGACAAGTGCTGTAAATGCCCATTGTAAAGCATGGACTTTGGGATTCCTTAATTGTGGTGTTTGTATTGCAGAGATCTCAAAGCTATACTTATGGTCTGTTTCTGTTATTACTGGAGTGCCTCAGTCCATTTTCTGTTGCTATATGAAAATACCTGAGGTTTCAGGAGAGGCTGTCATTGCCAGCTTGGAAAGGTGTCTGCGTTTCTTTTTTTGGGTACTGGGTATTGAAACAGGGGGCACTTTACCACTGAGCTACATCCCAGCCCTTTTTATTTTTCATTTTGAGATAGGGTCTTGTAAGTTGCTTAGGGCCTCACTAAGTTGTTGAGATTGACCTCAAAATTGTGATCCTTCTGCCTCAGCCTCCATTTGCTGGGATTATAGACATGAACCACTACACCCACCTCCAGCTGACTGCCTTTCTTGTTTTGTCCCTTCCTCCATATTTAAAGCTAGCAATATACGTTCAGTCTCTCACTATGACTTCAATGATCTCAGCTTCTGTTTTCACATTTTTTCTTTTCTTTTTTTGGTGGTGGTAGGGGGATACTGGTGATTGGACCCAGGGGTACTCTACCACAGAGCTATAGCCCAGCCCTTTTAATTTTTTTATTTTGAGATCTTGCTTAGTTGATAAGGCTGGCCTGGAACTTGGAGTCCTCCTGCCTCAGTGTCCCCAAGTTACTGGGATTATAGGCATGTACCACAGTGCCCAGTTTCTTCTCTTGTATAAAGTCCTTTTGTAGTTGGATTAGGGCTCACCTAGTGTAATTTTTTTTTTTTTTTTTTTTAACAATGCCTTTTATTTTTACGTGGTGCTGAGAATCCAACCGGGTCGCGCCCGTGCTAGGGGAGCACTCTACCGCTGAGCCACAATCCCAGCTAGTGTAATCTTATGTAATTCTTAAATAACATCTGCAAGTGTGATATTCACTTAATTAACATATTCACAGTTTCTAGGGATTAGGATGTGGATGTTTTAAGAGGAATTTATTCTTAGACTACCACACTATCATATTTGAGGCTATCTTAGCCTTTTCACCACTGTGACCAAAAGACCTGACAATAACAATTAGAGGAGGAACAGTTTATTTGGCTCATGGCTTCAGAGGTCTCAGTCCATGAACAGCCAACTCCATAGCACTGGGCCCAAGGAGAGGCAAAGGATGGAGTGAGTGCATGGGGTGGAGTGACACTCAGAACATGGCAATCAGGAAACGGAGTTCCCACTCACCAGGAACAAAATATAAACCCCAAAGTCATTCCCAGTTGATCCATATCAGTGAATTAATGCACTGATTGGGTTCAAGTTCTCATAACCCAATCATTTTACTTCTAAATTTTCTTGCATTGTCTTGCACATGAACTTTTGAATACCGCATATCAAAATCATAACAGATGCTTAAATTGGGGAAACAAGATGAGCCATATGCCTGCCTCAGCATATTGCCTTGAGGGAGATTCCAAGTTACAGTGTAGGGAGGGGGAATCTAGATGGATCCTGGTGATTTTCCTGAGTTGAGGAGATGGAACAGGGATTCCAGAAAGACCAAGAGAGAGTTTACAGATCAGAATTCAGAAGAAAGAAAACTCCAGAGGTCTGCAGAAGGTTCTAGACTCCAGTAGAATTGATGACCTGTGTTTCAAAAACCACCAGAGCAGGGGAAAGGACCACATGAACAATCCCTGGAGCTTAACTAGAAAAACCTAGTTCATGAGCATGGGATAGAACACTTAGAAGGGTTTTGTCTCAATAGTGAGATAAAATGAGCCTAAATATGGCTCTTTCCCCACCTAACAAAAGCTTAAAAACAAGACCTGAAAGGATCAAACTGTTTCCAAATAGTTGCATCTCAGAACACTTGAGAATGTTTTTTAACATCTCTAATACCCAATTAAATTCAAAATGTCTTAACATTCAATAAATACCAGGTTTAGGGGCTGGGAATGTGGCTCAAGCGGTAGCGCGCTCGCCTGGCATGCGTGCGGCCCGGGTTGGATCCTCAGCACCACATACAAACAAAGATGTTGTGTCTGCCAAAAACTAAAAAATAAATAAAAAATTTTAAAAAAGATTACAGATCAGGGCTGAGAATATAGCTTAGTCAGTAGAGTGATTATTAAAAAAAAATAAAGGGACTGGGGATGTGGCTCAAGCGGTAGCGCGCTCGCCTGGCATGCATGCGGCCCGGGTTCAATCCTCAGCACCACATACAAACAAAGATGTTGTGTCCGCCAAATACTAAAAAATAAATATTCTCTCTCTCCCTCTCTCTTAAAAAAATAAAATAAAAAATAAAAATAAATAAATACCAGGTATAGAAAGAAATAGATAAAACCCATAATGAGAAGAAAAGTCAATAATTCAAAATTGATCCAGATCTGAAAACTCAAGGTTGGGATCAATATTTGTATTTCTACAGTGCCTGGGACTTAGGATATTTGTTGACTTTTTATAAGAATGTAATCCTTTCAAGTGGCTTTGTGATTAAGGAAGTAAGTTGGAAGTTGATCAGGAAGAAAACCAAGTTGAGTACATATGAAAATATGTTTATGGTAAGCGTGGTGGTGATGGTGGCATAATTGAGGAAAAGTACATGATTGGGCCAGTTTGACCAATGAACTAAGATCAGTAGTTTTTCAGTTTTTGTTTTTCCAGGATTCCTTCCCTAGGCTTCTCTGCTGAAAACCAGGAAAATAGTTATTGCCAGAAAGGTAACCTGGCTTGCTTGTTTCATTGAAGATCAGAGAAAATGACCACGGTTAAATTTTAAGATTTCAAAGGAGGGACTTAAGGAAAGGGAAGTTTATTTTTCATACTGGGGATCGAACCTTACCACTGAGCCACATCCCCAGTTATTTTCAGTTTTTATTTTGGGACAGGGTCTTGCCAAGTTGTTAAGGCTAGCCTCAAACTTGCTATTCTCCTGCCTCAGCCTTCCAAGTGCTAGGATTACAAATGTGAAATTTAACTCAATTTTGACACTATCAACTTGGAATTAGTGTCACATTCCACAGTTAAGAGCTAAATCCTATAAGATTGCCTGCTGCCTCCTCATTTTTAAATACTAATCCAAGTGATAGACCCACAGGTTACCTACAACTTCTATCTGACTTGGATACCAATTGAATATTCCCATAGCCCCCTCTTCAATTTCAATCTTTTGCTTAAACAGCTCACAGAACTTGGAAAAATGACTTGGAAAAGTTTATGAGGTTTATTATAGAAGGACATAACTCAAAAACATCCAGATAGAACAGCTGTATAACAAGAAGGGATGTGGAACATCATTTCCTCTCCAGACCACTCTCCCATCATTTCTTACTCACCAAACCTTGTCCTTTGGGAGCTTTGTGGAGGCTTCATTAGTAGCCATGACAGACTAAATTGTTGAATATTGGCAATTAAGTCAGTTTTCAATCCCTGGAGGTCAGAGGGTGGGACTGAAAATTCCAACATTCTTGCTATCTGTTCTTGAGGTGGGGCCTTGGGGTCTTGCTATGTTGCCCAGGCTGGTCT